TGCTTATGTGGTGCTGAGGAATCGAACCCAGGGCCTCATGCATGCAAGGCAAGCGCTCTACCACTGAGCCACCTTCCCAGCCCCTCTTACATACATTCCTATGTCATGTTGATAGTATTCTTCAAAAGAGCTCTTAATTCAGGAAGCTTCTGTTGATCTTCTGAAGCCCTCTCAAGAATTTGTTTTGTTTTGTCTTGCATTTATTTGTTTAGATTGATTTTTTTTCTGTTTCGTTTTGGGACAAGGTCAAGCTGTGTTGTCCAGCCTGGTCAGGGATTAAAAGTGAACAAACTGAACCCAGAGTTTTGGCATTAACATGAAAATAGTGTGCTATATTTGCTGATTTCTGGATGGGAGTGCCCTGGGAAGGTAATAACCAGCACTGTCATTTGTCCTGAAAATGAGATTCCTTTTAAAGAAAGAACAGAATAGGGCTGGGAAGGTGGCTCAGTGGTAGAGTACTTCCTTGCATGCATGAGGCCCTGGGTTTGATTCCTCAGCACCACATAAGCAAAAAGAAAAAAGCCGCAAGTGGCACTGAGGCTCAAGTGATAGAGCGCTAGCCTTGAGCTGAAGAGCTGAGGGACAGTGCCCAGGCTCAGTTCAGGCCCCATGACTGGACCCCCCAAAAAAAGAGCAGAATATCCCCTAGAACTAAGTTGTTTTTTTGTTTTTGTTTTTGTTTGCCAGTCCTGGGCTTAACCTCAGGGCTTGGGTACCATCCCAGAGCTGCTTTTGCTCAAGCTAGCCCTCTACCACTTGAAAAACAGCACCACTTCCTGCCTTTTCTGTTTATGTGGTACTGAGGAACGAACCAGGGCTTCATGCATGCAAGCACTCTACCAATAAGCCACCTTCCAAGCCCCCAAGAACTCGACCTTAATTGCTGGGGTTAACTTTTATCTGAAAAGGGAAAAACAAAACAGCTAGGAGTGGGAGCACAGGTCTGTAAAAGCAGTAGCATTCAGAATTTCCAGAAAACAGGAGTGATTTCACCATTGCCCTAGAGGCTAATGTGATAAGACCCTCCGTAATCTTGAGTTTTCACTTTTTTTTTTTTGGTAGTTTTACAATATTAGTAACAAGATAGATCCATGGCAACCACTTTTAAGAAGGAGCCCTGAGACAAGAAAGTTGAGACCTACACCATTGAGACAGTATACCGAAGATAGTATAAGGGCACTTCATGCTTATAATCCTAGTTTCTCAGGAGGCTAAAATCTGAAGATCAGGGCAGAAAAGTTTGAGAGACTTTTAGCTCCAGTTAACCAGAAAAGTCCAGAATTGTAACTCTGGTTTATCTAAGAATCCTGGGCTCTCTGCCCCCAAGGACTCATCCCTTTGCAGAAGCTACATACCTAAACCTCCCTCCTATATGACAGAGACACTTTCATTTCAGTAGGGAAGAAACCACAAACCTGCTTTCTACTATAGGCATTTCTGCAGTAACTGTTTTTTTTCTTTTTTGTTGGTCATGGGGGCTGAACTCTGGGCCTGGGCGCTGTCTCTCAGCTCTTCATCTCAAGGCTAGCACCCTACCACTTGAGCCACAGGGCCACTTCCAGCTTTTTTCTGCTTATGTGGTGCTGAGGAATGGAACCCAGGGCCTCATGCTTGTGAGGCAAGCACTCCTACCACTGAGCCAACTTCTCAGCCCTCTTTTTCTTTTCTTTTTGCCAATCCTAGGCCTTGAACTAAACACTGTCCCTGAGCTCCTTTTCTTCAAGGCTAGCACTCTACCTCTTGAGCCACAGTGCCACTTTGGCTTTTTCTGTGTATATGGTACTGAGGAATTAAACCCAAGGTTTCATGAATGCTAGGCGAGCTCTCTAACACTGAGCTACATGTCCAGCCTTCTGCTGGGGGGTGAGGGTGTCAAATTCTATGCACTCATGGCCTTACAAAATGTGTAGACCGGGGCTGGGAAGGTGGCTCAGTGGTAGAGCGCTTGCCTTGCATGCTTGAGGCCCTGGGTTCTATTCCTCAGCACCCATAAGCAAAAAACAAGCCGGAAATGGTGATGTGGCTCAAGTAGTAGAGCGCTAGCCTTGAGCTGAAGAGCTGAGGGGCAGCGCCCAGGCTCAAAGTCCAGGCCTACGACCGGACCCCAAAAAAAAAATGTGTAGACCACTTAAAACCCTGGGGGATATGCTGGGCACATGTGGTTCATACCTGTATCTTGGTTTCTCTTGAGGCTGAGATCTGAGGATCACCATTGGAAGAAGCCTAGGCAGGCAAGTCTGTGACACTTTTTTTTTTTGGTCATGAGTCCTGAACTCTGGACCTGGGTGCTGTCCCTCAGCTTTTCAGCTCAAAGCTAGTGCTCTTATCACTTGAACCATAGCACCACTTCCGGCTTTTTCTGCTTATGTGGTGCTGAGAAATTGAACCCAGGGCGTCATGCATGCAAGGCAAGCACTCTACCACCAAGCCACCTTCCCAGCCCTGTGAGACTCTTTATCTCCAATTTACTACCAAAAAGCTGGAAATGGAGCTGTGGCTCAAGTGGTAGAGTACCAGGCTTCAGCAAAGTACAGCTAAGGGACAGCATCCCAGTCCTGGGTAATTTAAGTTCTAGTACCAACACACACACACACACACACAAATAGAAACAAAAAGCCTGGCTGGGCACAGGTGGGTGGCTCACACTTGTAATCCTAGCTACTCAGGAGGCTGAGATCTGAAGATTGTAGTTCAAAGGCAGCCTGGGCAGGAAAGTCTGTGAAACTCTTATTTCCAGAAAACCAGAAGTGGTGCTGTGGCTCAAGTGGTAGAGCACTAGCCGTGAGCTGAAGAGTTGAGGGACAGCTAGTAGAGCACTAGCCATGAGCTGAAAAGCTGAGAGACAGCGTTCAGGCCCAAAATTCAAGCCCATGACCAACCAAAAAAGCCTGTAGTTCTTTTGTTTGTCCATTTTTTGCCAGTCCTGAGACTTGAACTCTGAGCCTGGGCATTGTCCCTGAGCTTCTTTTGCCCTACCACTTGGCTTTTTTGAGTAATGTATTAGAGATGAGTTTCACAGATGCCAGGTGCCAGAGACTCGTGCCTATAATCCTAGCTACAAAGGTGGCTAAGATCT